CTGCAGAAGGAAATACATTTCTTGAGTCAAGAAACCCTTCTCTACCGTTTGCCTACTCTCAGCTGGGTCTTTCTCCTTTATATCCTCTTATTTTGGAGAATACTGTCCTCCTGGTTCTAAGAGAGTCATAGAGAGCCATGGCAGGCTGTGAATGAAGGGATGAAGTTAGAGGAGGAGGAGCACGTAGTGATATTCTACGTTTGCGAAGCACTGTCTCAGGCACAGTTGGAAAGTTCAACACTTTTTGTGGGCTCTCTGAGAGTATTTAAGCAGAGGCTGACCTGTTATGCCTATATCCGATAGAACCATAGACTCCCTGAGTTGGAAAGAATTCACATTGAAAGGGGTGGAATTTTTCTGAACCCCAAATCATACATCACTTGGAGTACACAAGAGACGGCTTATAGAGAATATTTCAAATATGGAATCGCCTTGTATCTTGTGCCAACCCTAGTTTCAATGTGTAATTCCTAAGTCGGGCTGCTTTTTAGGCTGGCAATGTGTCCATTTAATCAAAGATAGTTTAAGGTGTAGAAACAGGATACTAGGTTTATGATAAAATGAAAAACAGGGACACATTTATAATATAAAGAGTGGGCAGTTGAAAAGGATATCAGAGTTGCAGGCTATGAGACATTTCTCATTTTCTCTAGTCCTGCTAAAATGAAACCTCCATATTTCTCAAGGATCTAGCCTTGCTATCTCTGAACAACTCTAATGGGAAAAATTCCATCATGTGGCCTGCAAAATACAGTCACACATTGCACATTCATGGCTGTCTGGACCTCAACGTTGTACTCTACATTGCCTTTCTCCAGATACATGGTTATACTTTTGGAATCAGTATGCTTCTCCCGCTCCAATCACTTCATTTGGTAGCCAAGAAATGCAAAATCACTTTGACACTAGCTCAGGCAAATATGATTAGGAAGGTAACTCTAAGGGAAGAGGTTTTTTTAAATACATACTAAATTGAGTAAAGATTATTTATAATTGTATCTTTCCTTAAAATAGTGATTCTCCACCCAGTACACCAAATCAACTTTGGGTAGTAAGTACTTTGCCATGCTTCCTTTACTGCTGTGAAATACAAACTAGAGATAATGTTACCATCGTACATAGTGTGCCCTCAGTATGAAATATAAATGAAGGAAAAGTAATTTCTAATAAAAAAAGTATTTATTTCAATGTGTGAATGCTGGAGCATGAGTACGTTAGGAGACCTAATGAAGTCATCAGATGTTTGCTGTCATTTGTAGAACCACTACAAACACAACCACTACAAATACACACTCACATAGGTGTGCTGTTTAGTATTCAAAGACCATGAGTCATGTTGCTATGGTAGTTTTTCCAAAATGATAACCAACTCTTGGTAAATTTCAAACAAAAAAATTACAGCTGTCCCTCAATTTACCCAGTTGTTGTAGTCCTGGAAAATTCACTATTAATACAGCTGTGGAAAAAATGCTTTGTGTTAATATGTAAATGGGGATAAATTCAGGCTCAGAAATAATAAACAGTTTTTTACTTGCATGATTGTCCATTGGCATCTTCAGAAGACATGTAAGACATGGGACAATGCTTCATTCTGTGGGACGGTCCCACACATTGCAGAATGTCTACAGTCCAGTCCTCTGCCCATTTAATGCAGCTTGTGCCCACAATTATCACCAGAATCAAAGGCACTCCTACAGATTTCCAGAATTCAAACCTTAGGAAGCAGTGCCCCCTTTGCTGAGAGCCATTGGTTTGAAGTATTGCCTACAGAGCTTCCCCCAAGGACTCAGACTTGATCTGTGAAGCCAAAGAATGACAGTGCTGGAAGGTACCTTAAACCTTATCTAATTGGCCCTTCATTTTTATCCATGTGATGTAAGTAAAACTCGTTCTTGGACACTCAGTTACTGTATAACCTAGGATAAAAATCAAGATTTCCCTTTAGTCATTTTTATTCCTTATTGAATAGAAAGATACCCTTGAATTTGTCTATCTTACACACCAGCTATTTCAAAAAAGTTGAATGACTCACAGCATTTTCCAGTTTTCAACAAGGTATTTGGGATTGAAATCATGTACTTCTCACCGCTGAGTTTCGTGGTCAACTGGGATATTCTCAACAGCCCACCACAAGCCTGGATTCTTGCATACAAATAAATGAGAATGATTAAAAATATTATAAATTCCCTTTACAATGTGTTCAAAAATGATTGCTGAGAGCAGAAGATGTCTTACATGGTTAGTGGCTAACTGATATTCTCACTGTCCTCCCCAATGTCCAGTCCTAAGGATCCAAGCAGGACCCTGGGAAATGAGTGACTCAGATCCCACATGTTCCTGCACTGTGCACAGTCTGACTCAAGACAGCAAGTGGCTGGTCCCTTCCTAAGACTTAATGATGTCTTGGCTATTCAGTCCTGATGGTGAATGGAGTATTTTAAAATTTGATTTGGCAGATCAAATATTAAGAAGAGGATGTTTGATTGCACAGACTCCACAATACTGGCTTTCCAAATTAAATTTGCAAATTGATACCTGCTTCAAAAACAATGCTTGGAAAAATTCCATTTATAATCCTTATACTATCAGGGAGTAAAGGTAAATAGAGAGAAGATATTCATAGCATGTAAGAGTTATTGGGTAAAATTATGGATCCTAAACCAAAGAGGAGAAGTTAGTCACCTCCTAATCCCTTCCCCTCATACTGCACAGAAAGAGCAACCTACTCTGTATATGCAAACTCAGCTCTCTTCAGGGGAAATAAACACAAATGTCCTCTAAGCGAGAAAATATCATCAGGTCCTTCTACTTGGTCCCTGTACACCCTACAATTTCCTCATGGAGGAGTTCCTCAGGTCTTCCTCCCAAGACCACATCCTCTTAATTTTAGACTCACTCTAACAATTCAAACATCAGGTGTTGGAAGCAGCAATTTAGAAAGGAGGAGGTTTGACTGCTCAGGGTAAACCCTGCGACGGCAACAAGGAGAGACAACTGATCATCTGATCTCCATGCAGGAGATGGAAAACTGTTTTACAAAGTGGAAAGAGGGGCTGAGATAGGAACTCAAAATAAACAGCAGGCTGGGCCATTTAATGTAGGGACAAACAGCTCTAAACCTGGTAGCATCTCTGTCATACCAAACAGCATAGTAATTAATGTAAAAGAAAAGTTAGATCATACTCAATATGTTTCGCAGCAAAATTCAATGAAGCAGGTAGAATCCTAGAGTGGCGATGTAAGAAAACCCTTCAGAGAGCATCTAAGTTCAATCCCTTTACTTTACAAAGAGGGAAACTGAATTGAAAAGGTAAAACAGGTTGGAGGTAGCGTTGAGACAGCAGCGCAGCCTAACTGGGCCAGGGCTCCTTCCATATGGACGCCCTGATAACTGACGTCACTGAGAGGAAGGAAAAGAGACGTTGCATCACATGTCATCACTCATTGTGTCATTGCTTTTGGCCTCACTGTTTTTGCCCCTCTGCATTGATTCCTCCCACTTCTAGAGGAGCAGAAATCTGCTCTCTTGATTCACAAAAGAGTGAATTATTGTTCCCGGATTTGTGATGAGAGAACTTCAGGGCTGGCCCTTATCAAAGCTGGGACTGAAGGTAAACTTTACTTTGCGTTCCCTCTGACATTCTCCTACCCATTCCTGCTATGTTTCCTCCAACCTGCCCTATATCTGTCCTCTAACGTGGCACTCCACCCACTGGGCCCACATCCAGAGCTCCAAGCACGATGTAGAAGACTCTCCCAACTCCCACAAGTCTGGTGCATTCCCAGTCTCTTTCTAATTTGATCTCTAACTCCATTAAACAGAATGAGGCAATATACCAATGTTTTTCAAATGTAAGAGGTTAGCTTATTAAAATTCAGATTCCTGGTCCCCATCTCCCAAAATTATAATTCAACAAATGATTCTGGTTGAAGTGGGCCCTGACCCTCCAAGTACCCTCTATCTTCATACTGTCTCTCTCTGCCATACCTTTACCTCATATTCCACCTCTTTGTCCAACTAATTCCTACATATTCCTCCAAACCAGCTCATGTACACACCTCTCATCTCTGCTCTCATCCCAGTATATTTCTATATCACTGAGCTGTATAAAGCCTACTACGTACACTGATTTTCTGGGGCATCTCTCCTTGAGGGCAAGGCTACGTCTTACTGGTCTTTTTTTTAATTCCCAGCACTTAGCAGCCTACCAGGTACTGTAAAAGTGTTCATTAAATTATCTTTTGCATGTGCTAGATTTCCTCGTTAATGTCTAGTCTTTTAGCCCTGGCTGGGTTGCTCAGTTGGTTGGAGCATCATCCCAATTTGCCAATGTTGCAGGTTTGATGCCCGGTCAGGGTACATACAAGAATTAACCAATAAATGCACCAATGTTTGGAACAACAAATTGATGTCTCTCTCTCTACCCTCCCATCCCTTCTTCTCCCCCTTTCTTCTCTCTCTCAAATCAATAAATTTAGAAATTTAAAATTTTTTTCAAAAAATAACTAGTCATTTATTGTATTTGAATTTTTTATCAGTCCCCTAGATACCGAATCACTCAAAATATCACTCTCAAATGAGATGCATCTTCTGCAATATGTAAAAATGAAAGAGAAAAATGTTACACATAACCTAACCCTGGTGCCAGCAGTTGTGGGGGTCATAATGAATCAGGCCCATGTTCACTCAGGATATCTAACACCTAAGGAACAATGACAGAAAATCATAAAACATATGGAAATTTTTCTAAGGAAAGAAGATCTGTTTCAAATAGTTCTTTAAAATTAGTTCTGATTGCCTTCCAGTTATTCAGGTTAAAAAGTTTTTCAGACACGAGGTTGGAAAACACTGATGGCGCTGAATTGATTCATACACAAGAAACTCTGTATTTGTTCTCTAATCCGAGAGATTCCCAGCATTTTCTACCTACAATGTTTGGCCACCACAAGGTCAGCTCCTCTCCTAAAGTTCACCAGCCATCTGTGTTTGTCCCGTGCAGGTGTTTGCTACGCAGAGTTTGGAGTCCGTGTCCCAAAGACCACGGGGTCGGCCTACACCTACAGCTATGTCACTGTTGGGGAGTTTGTGGCGTTTTTCATTGGCTGGAACCTGATCCTGGAGTACCTGATTGGAACTGCAGCTGGCGCCAGCGCTCTGAGCAGCATGTTTGACTCATTGGCAAACCACACCTTCAGCCGCTGGATGGTGAACAGCGTGGGAACGCTCAACGGTCTGGGTGAGACTGCCACATCCTCTCAGCCCAGCATGCAAATGTGAAGAGCCAAATGAATGTGTTCCCCTTTCAGGACGCAATTTGGTAAAAACTTATCAAGCCTTAAATGTGTCTTCTCTTTTTTTTTTTTTGCAAAGTAATTCTTCCCCTCCCAACCTATTCTAAGGAAATTAGTCTAATTTCCATAAAGCTTTCTACAAAAAGATGTTCATCACAGCCTTATTTATAATAACAAAAAATTAGAAACAACCTAAATATTCTACAGTAGAGCAAATAACTAAGTAAATTGTGAAAGCATATTACGTAGCTAGAAATTAAAAGAATAACTAGGAAGTCTTTTGTAATAACCTGGAATGTTTTTACTGTAATGGCATGTGACAAAGGATGCAAGTCATACATGTATTGTGTTAATAACTATATAAAAATGAAACTAATGCAGTAAGAACTGTAAAGAAATTCTTCAGTGGTTTCCTCAGCAGATTTTTTAAAGTTTCATAAGTATATATTAATTTTAAATAAGAATATATATTTTTAAAATAGAACAAAATGGATTCTAGTCTAGCCGAGGTCAAGGATGGGTAATGGAACTGAGTGAATACTTAACAATAAGAAGTTCATATAAAAATTACCTTGAGACTTCAGGCTCTGTCCATCACTTGCCACCCACTTTCTATCCTAATATCTGACTTTATCTTTTCACTTTCATGGGGAGCTAGACAGCAGTTGAGAAAGCTTTGAGATCTTACCCCACAACTTCCAAGGACCGATTCTGTGTCTCTGTGCAAGTCATTTAACTTCAGTGTCCCTGTGTCTGAAGAACTGACAAAAATGCTGAGTATCCAGATACCATAAGAAGATAAAAATATATGAAGACCCCATCTCCTCATATGTGCATTTCATAGAATTTTAGGTCTCCAAGGGCCCTCCAAAATCAGGTAGTCCAAGCCCTTAACTTTACAGATGAGGTACAGAGAAATGAGACACTTCCCCAAAGAGTCAGGCAGTCCTGGCTTTGTGTCTTGTGTGCTTGCTTACATTATATGCTTAATAGCAATTTAATTTAATTTGACCCCTCTGGTTATGGGCAAAAGTACAGCTGAAATTCAGGAGCCTGGTTACTGAGGCTCTGCCTTTTCCTTTCTGTAGAGGGCAGGAGTCCACTGGCAATGGACAAGACCTAGCAGGCAGGGCATGTTTACCGGTCATTTTCTCTGCAACCACATACTCATGAATGGAAAGAACACCCTTCTTCCAATAGTTTTCAAAGGCATACACTTCAAATCTTTCTAATAATAAAAAAAATTGCTGGAATGGAAAGGAAAATTTATGGACTATAAAGTGAACAAAAGTGAAGATAAAACAATTTTCAAATAAAATGTTAAACCTATATATCTCTCCCAAATATCCCAGGACCGTCCTAACTCCAAATGTTCTGTGCCATGGTTCCATAGGATTCTTGTGATTGTTATGTCATGTACCCCAATTTTTGGTCCAGGATATCAGGTCATCTTACCTATGTACCAAAACCTACCCATTTGCAAATAGATACTTGTAGACCACAGTGTAGGCACATATGCGCATGCTCACACGCATGCACACACACACACACACAGTTTCTTCCCTGGCTGTAACAAGCTGACTGCCCTTCTCAGAGCTGAGTGCCCATGCCCTGGGATGGGGCTGGGAGTTTTCATGGCCTTTTTTCCCCTCCAGACGTTATTAACTCATGTCTTTCCCCCCTCTAGGGAAGGGTGAAGAGTCATACCCAGATCTTCTGGCTCTGGTGATCGCGGTCATCGTCACCATCATCATCGCGCTGGGGGTGAAGAACTCTGTGGGCTTCAATAACGTCCTCAACGTGCTGAACCTGGCAGTGTGGGTGTTCATCATGATTGCAGGCCTCTTCTTCATCAATAAGAAATACTGGGCTGAGGGCCAGTTCTTGCCCCACGGCTGGTCAGGGGTGAGTTCATTCCTAAATCCTGGTGTACCTGTCGCACCCTCTGCCTTCTACCCTGTGACCAGTCTGAGACATATTTTCGGGAAAATGCTGCTCTGTCTCATTACCTTCATGCCACTGTCTTCCTCACCTTTCATTAGAGTGTTGTGGAAGAGTGGCTCTTATTTGTTTCACAAATATTTATTAAGATCCTATTTTACAGATAACAATAATAGATTTGGTGTGTTGGTCCCTTTTGATATGCCTCGTACTAAATGCTTTGCATGTAATAGTTTACTTAATCTTCCTAATAACCTTGCAAGAAAATATTTACATTCTGGTCTTGCAGATGAAAAAACTCACACACAGAGAAATCAGGTGGCTTTCTATTAAGCATACAGTGTAGACAAACACAGAAGACCCAAAGCCAGGACTGTCTGATTCCAAACCCTGTACAATCTCTCTATGGTCTATTCAGATGACAGTGAGCCCATAAGTAAACAAGACAGTAAAGGAAACCCAGAGAGTGAATGGGTGGGGAAGGGGTGAGGGGTTCCTGGGTATGGAACTAGGAAACAAACAGTTTTAAAATCTAATCCCAACATTTGACCCAAGGTAGACAGCCCCTCAGGGGTCTGAGGGCAGTTGAGCGGGCCCAGTAGGTTCAGGTTATGGATTCCATTCCAGTGGTATGGTTCACACAGACGAGCCCGCCTGGTGCAGCCTGGAGGGTGGCAAGAGAGTGTGCTAGACCGAAAGGACGTTTTCAGATCTCACCCCTGTAGCAAGTAGTTCTAAGTGGCACCTGGACTTCTTTTTTAGGATGATTAAAAATGCTTACTTCATGGATTAATTGGTAGAATTTGCCAACCCATTTTTTTTTAAGTAGTAGAACATAAATCAGAGAATTTTGAGCTGAAAAAGGTCTGGAAGGTCACCAGGTCTGATCCCCTCATTTAGCAGGTGGAGAAACTGAGGCCGAAAGAGGCAAAACCTGCCTCAAATGGTGGCAGAAGCAAGTCCAGGATTCCAACAGTTTTGCTTTCATAGCTCTTGCTTAGACTGCTTTCCTCCAAGACATTCAAGGACCAGAAATCCCTCTTGGAGAACACTCAGAATAACTTCTGTTATTCTGAATCATGCCAGGCCGTTCAATGCACAGAAATAAGCAAAGAAGCAATTTCAGCCAAGATTTCTAGTCTTCTGCTTATCTGTAAGAATTCCACAGAACCACAAAGTTCATTCCACCTCCTTGAAGTGAATAAATCCTGAAACTGGCTAAAACCAGAAGAGGCAAACACTGTTAACCCCATTCTGGATCCTCAAATCTACATTTTCTTATGATACAAATTGTTCCCTTCCTGCCACATAAGAGAAACAACAAATTATAAGAATAACAAAGAAAGAATGTTTTTCCAGAACTCAATTACATTTTCATCAGAGCACACGAAAATGTCCTCCCCGTTTTCTTAACAATGTAAGAAATTATAGGGTCAGGGACTTACTGTAAGACTTCAGCCAACATCTAACTTCTGTGCTTTCAGGTTTTCTCAACTGTCAAGTGAGAAAGCTAATTGTACCAATTGTTTGCAAAAGAGAATAAAATCTTGGATGTTTTTACATGCACATTTTGTGGTTAGCAATAGTGATAATGACAGTAGAAAGGAGCTAGAATTTATCTGCTACCTTAGGTGCTCTATGAATTGTGCATTGTTCTCTGTGAATATTATCTCATTCTTATAACAAAACTTTAATGCAGGTGCTGCCTTGCCCAAGGCTCAGAGAGACTGGGTTACTTACCTGAGGTCAATTAGCTAATCAGGGTCAGGACTGAAATTCCTGCCCAGGACAGTGTGGCTCCAAAACCTCTTCACTACATCAGTGTGTTGAGTATGATGACCTTCCCTTTTGAACCTTCTTAAATAAGATAATTAATCAGGCATGTTATATTTTTATTTCCTTTAAGCTTCCCCAAAGTCATAGAGTCTTGGAACTGGGAAAAGTATTCAGACATGGCCTAGTCTCTTATCTTCAAATGGAAGTATATTTAAACCATCGCAGGCCAAATATGCATTGTTTACCAAGACATCATGTCAGGGCAATTCAAAAACTTTTCTTAAGTACTTGAACCATGTTAAGTTTTTAAGATCTCCCTAGTAGCTTACCTGAATGGCACACACTGCAGTCTAGGCCCCATGTAACAACTAGAAAGAGTCAATATCTTCCTGTAATTACCCTTTGCCCAGGCTGAAGAAGATGAGTCTTTTAGTCTTTCTTCTAATGCTGGGTCCTGGAGTTTTTATTCTCTTTGGGGTCTCCTCTTTCCTTCTTTGGGGATCCACATCTTTCCTCAGTCAGGAGTGTGCCTCATCAAAGAAGAAGCTAGTCCAGCCAGCCTTAGAGGTTCCCCATTTATATATCCCAGGTTCTCACCAACTTTTATAGCAAAAAATGAAGATCAGATATCAGTGTGGAGATTGTGAGAGCAGGGGCTATGTTGGACAGAGGAGGGCAAGGGGGGGAAAACTGGGACAATTGTAATAGATTGTAACAAGAATAAAAAAGAAAAGAAAAGAAATACTCCCTTAGTAAAAACCTTAGTTTTACCATTAAAAAAAGGAAAGATGCCATTCTTAACATTTTCTTTATGACAATCTTTTCCATATACAGTTTTCCTTTAATTTCACAACAGCCCTGCAAAATAAACACAATGATCTCAATTTTACATCAAAATAACTGAAGTTTAGGCCACAGATCTTAATCATAAAAGAATTGAAATGCTATCCCACTCCTGGGTGAGCCAAAGCCCTTATTTATGTACTTCACCACCCCACCCACCCCTGGTAGTGGACACATGGGACCAACTGTCTTTTTTTGCACCTTTGACCACTGATCTCACTCCAACCCAAACCAACTGCCTTGAGGAGGCTTGCCATTGGCCACCAAAAAAGTTTGGCTGGGATTCTGGATTTTTCACTGCAACTCCATTTTCCCTGCCGGAAATTCAAAGATATGCCCTAGTGGCTATGACTAAAAGCATCATCTGAGCACAAAGGACATTCCAGTGTGAAGATGTTGCTGACTCATCCTCTCTGCTACCTGCCTGGCCTTGGATTTCTGCACAGTGAATTTCCTCCCTAGCGAACTGGCCTGGACCTGTTCTTTCTCAACTTTGGTTTCAGGTCACTTTTCCAGTCCAGCAAGACCACTTTGAATATAGATCCAATTTTTTAAGGTCTGACACCTTCTCATGAGCATTTCATCCACCATGTTAATAAACACACTCCCTACTCTGTTATCTAACAATTGTCAGCAAAAGCGGGTTGCTTACTCGGCAGCTGCATGAATTTCTTCACTCCTTAGGGAAAACCTGACCTACCGGACAAGGAGACTAGTTCAGAGCTCCAACCCACTTTATTCGTTTTAGGCAGATGGGATGGAGGACCCTATGGCGAAGGGGATGGCTTAAAAGGATATCGTTACATAACTTGAAACACAATTCTCAAATACTTTGAAAGGGTTAATGAGCAATCTGTCCTCTGGCCATGGACCCCTCATAAGCCCACTCTTGCTCTGCTGTCACCACTTCCTTCCAAAGAAAATAGCTTAAGGAATGGTTTACTCACTTACAGGTTCTGGGTCAAATGCTTCTTTGAAGAGCTTAAGAACAACATTTTTCCCCTATATCAAGTAACTGCTGGCCCTCAGCTGAACCTCTGCTTCCATCTGCAAATCCTCAGCCCCTGAACACTGTTGGATGTGTGTTCCCTGTATGTTATTTGTTCTTGATGCTATCTTATGGTTTTTCTTTAACCAAATAAGATGCTCTACAAGCACAAATAGTTCCCAGGAAAACGGTCCATAGCAAGTATTTGTGGGGAATGCTGACAGCCTTCCAACAAATAAAAAGTTCTTTTCCATGTTCTGCACATTTAAATCCATTTGTTGGAACCTATTAGCACATTCCACTGTCACTGTAAATAGGCTGCTAATAGATCTAGAGCTTGAGTGTGGTAGAAAATGCTATTAAAGTTGTAGTTTTGTCTCGTTACCTTGGGAGTGAATTATATAAAGGTGTCTAATTATCCCCTAGGCACCTGGCAGATTGGCCAAAGCATGATATGGGGGGTGGAGTTGCCTCATCCTAATGCCTCTCAAATATCAGCAAGGCACAGGGGGTCAGCTTTTAGGGACCCACACACTGAGTAGCAGGCCACTAATGACATTGCCTTTGACAACTAATTAAGCAGCAGCTCTCCAGCCACTGAGGCGTGTGCTGCTTCCCCACCAAGCTGTACTGAGCCACAGACCGATCTGGATTGCCTGGCTGAGCAGCTATACCAGGTTTACTTTGGATAACAATTTTCACGTATGTCATCAAAATAAAAAGTCAATACTAACTTTTATTTATGTAAACCACTCAAGGAAAGTTAGGATAAAGCACCAGCGAGCGCACTATCTACACACGTACACACAGGCACTTTGCCACCACTTTTATTCACAGATGCTCAGCCCCAGGTACCACACACACTCCTTCGTGCACGCACACGTATCCTAATCACAGATACCAAGGGCCAGATCTGAATCTGGACAGAGTCAGGTGGAAAGCAGTTTTCATTGTTACTTAAGTAGGAGATACATCCACACACAGTTTTATTTCACAGATCCTGCATGTGGAAGAAAAGCTCATTCGAACTGACTCAAGTAAAAGGTTGACCTTATTTGCTAATTCCATTATCTTCTCTTCCATAATCTCTTTATTTACGCTATAGGTTGTAAGACTGGGGTCTGTTTGACCTTGGCAGGCGTGCTGGCTTTTCTCCCTTTGCCACCACTCCCCAGACTCATTCCCCACCCTGCCTGTTCTGCATTGTGCTCCAGAGGACCCCTGCGCTGGCTTCCTGTTGGGTTTGGTCAATGGGAGATACTGTCAGGAGATCAGAAGGAGAGAAGAGGGCAAGGCCAGAGTATCTCCTTCTCACGTTCACCCAGCCTTAGCTCCTACAATCCTTTCATTGAAATAATTTCAGTTGAACCATCTCAGTTAAATTCTGTTCCCTGCCCATTGCAGTAGAACCTCGCGACATCCTATCTTTGATCTTTCAGTCTTTCTTTATCCATAATTGCTTTCTACTTCTACATCTGTAAATTCAGGCTAACAGACATTCTCTTTGCAAACTTATTCTCTTCCCAATTTGATTATAATTCAATTTCTGGTATCTAATCATTATCAGTAATTGACATCTATTCTTTCACTTACTTGGAAGAAGAGTAGCATTTCTGTTTTTTAAAAACATGTAGATATTTATTCACCTTATTCCGTTTGTCACCACAGTCCAGGCTGCATTTGGGGTTGTGCAGTATCCTTGAGACTCCAAACCCCTCAAGGCCAAGCTCAGAGTACTTTTTGCTCATTAACTATCTCCACATCACCAAGCAAAATGCCTGACACGTGGAAACAGTTAATAAATATGCATTGAGGACAAAGAAAAGAAGGAGGAGGAGAAGGAATTTGTGCCCTTTGATTTCATTTGTCCTAGAAAAACTTACAATAATTATAAAAATACTACTGGTAAAATTTAACACTTATTGAGCAACTACTGTACTCTAGGTTTACAGTGTATTATATTATCTCATTTAATCCTTGTGATAGCTTCAAGAGCTAAATATTATCATTTCCACTTAAGTGATAAGGAAACTGGGCTCCCGGAGGCCAGCGACTTGTTCTAGCTCCCCAACCTAGTATGTGGCAGAAGCGATCTAGGTCTGACAGTCTACAAAGTCTGTACCACTAACCAAGTCTGGCTCTGCCCACACGCATGGCTCTGGGATTCCTTCTGGAGCCTGCAGTATACATCTCCACCAACTGCTGCATGGTCCACACTTGAAAACTGGGAGATGTCTCTGTGACTTCCACTGAGTCTTCTCTTCTTCAAGTTAAACATCCCCAGGTCCCCAGATGTTCCTCACATGGTGTGGTTTACAGACCTCTAGCCATTTTCTGGAATAGATGTGCCTCAAAATTCTTGTTTAAGACCCTCCCACCCTCCTTTCTTTAGCAGTGAGCACTTCTAGTATCCATGATCTTTTGATTTGACACAACTGACCAAACAGGCATGGAGCTGTAGCCCTGGGAAATCCTAATTAGGAGTGATCACCCTCAGGTTATCACAAAAGGTCACTTGCTGTATGATTTATTTACAAGAGGGTGTGTGTGTGTGTGTGTGTGTGTGTGTGTTATTTACAAGAGGGTGAGTGTGTGTGTGTTAGTTACAAGAGAGTGTGTGTGTGTGTGTGTGTGTGTGTGTGTGTGTGTGTGTGTGGAGGGGGGGAGAGAGAGAGAGAGAGAGAGAGGTGTTAAAGGAAGAAAAAGCAGGACCTGTTTTCTGGAAGCTGTCCAGAAATGCAAGGTTTTCCTCGACTGGCGACTGGCTCAGCTAAGCAAGCTTGCCATCCCAGCATGTGTTCATCCTTAAAGAACAGAAACATTTTTTAGATAAGTGACAACAAGCACATTTCCAAGCCTGTGAGCCTCCATATACATCTGTTTTCTCTCCTCAAATGAAGGCCAAAGACATTCTCCATGCCCTGAAGTGAAGGGCTTTCCTGGGCTGAAACTGGGAGTTATCTCCTCTCCCAGAAAGTAGCGCTCTGGCAATGGAACTGCTTGTTTGGGAAGTTCTCTTCACCTGAGTTATTAGAATACGCCAGGGGTTCTTAGATTTTGGAGGGCCCTGGACTCCTTGGCAGTCTGGTGAAGCCTGTAAACCCTTCCTGAGAACTGTGTTTTTAAATGAATAACCTAATTACATAGGAAATCAAAAGGAATCAATTATACTGAAATAATTGTGATGTAATCACAATGTGTTTCTTTACTGTACATTAATATTAACATGTACATCTAATAACTATTATCATTTGAAAGCAGCAATGAACACAACTGATACTCTAAGATTTCTGCAATGACCTTAAATATGGTAGGAAAATGATTGCTATTAGTGACAAAGTTATAGATGCCCTTAGTTTACCACCTACCTTCGTAATTGAAAGAAATGCTTACACTTAGTCAAAGTTAGTGAAAATAAAGTTGTCATATTTTCTCACCAAAATCCACAGATAAGATTGCATGGACCTCCAGGTAAGAATTCTCAGTTAGGGTATTGAAATATTAGAATCATAAGGGAAGACACTGTAGAAGAGACCAACTCGTTTTGCAGGTGAGCGCAGGTTGCTTTTGAAGGTTTGAGATTTTCAATATTGTGACGTACCTTGTAAGTTCTAGTATGTAATATTTTGTTTTTTACTTATTGAGAAGTCATTGGAGAAGATAAGAGTGAAAATTTAGGGAGAGATATCTGCTTGGCATATGGTTTGAATTTCATGATTTGAATGTGCAGAAAATTAAACAAAAGGTCCAGGCTGCGAAGAGCCTCACTCTCGGACCCCTGGCGGGAACTTAAATGCTGCAAGTCACCTCTCCCCATACCCACAAGCCCAGAAAAATCTCTCTCACCTTCCCCTAAAAGGATATCCCCAAACTCAAAAAAAAGCACATTTTTTACTTTCAGCTGATAATGAGGAAACTAAGGTGGAGAAACTTCATTTACACTTCAGTAGATTTTTTTGGAAGAAAATAACACACTCTTCAATGGGAGATTTTCACTGACACCTTGACTTCTCAAGTCCCTCCCATCCTTGGAGTCACAGATGCTCCTGACAGACAGACATCCAGTAGATGTCACTGGATACCACGTCCTCAGCCTTATACCACCTCAGACCTTAGACCCTTTCCTGCCTTGTAGCCAAACTAGGTCACTGAAATCCCTCAAAAAAGCAGAACAGTCAAACTGTCTCTACCTGTCTTCTCATAGAAGACAATAGAATATGCGAAGATCTGAAAATCTTTATATCATTTCAGATCCAGAAGTTACCATAGAGATGATCTATCAGAGGCACTGATGGTAATTTGGGCAGGATAATTCTTTGTGCAGACATCTGAGCCCACTACTCTAAATGCCAGAAGTACCCACCCCATGTCTCTGTGACAGTCACAAGTACCTCCCCATATTGAGAAACACCTCCTAGGGGTAGTCATACAGCCCCTGGTTGTGGTTGAGAACCACTGGATAAAAGCACAGAGAGGTTAATGAGTTCCCCAAGACCTAGGGATGGCCAACTTAGTGACTATTTTTATAACCCCACTTATTTCCAAAAATGATTTGAATGTGTTGAATGACTTGTTTTCATTTGGGCATAATTCTTCTTATCTCCATTTTACCCATGAGGAAATGTGTCACACAGCAAGAAAGTAGAGGAGATCAGAACTGGTGTGTTTAGTACAAGCCCCACCATGCTACCCGCTCTGCCACTCAGTATGGTACCACATGTCAGGCCCTGGTACCGCCCTGACACTCTGAGTCTGACAGATGTCATCATCCCTACAGGTGCTGCAAGGAGCAGCCACATGTTTCTACGCTTTCATTGGCTTTGACATCATCGCCACCACCGGAGAGGAAGCCAAAAATCCCAACACATCCATCCCCTACGCTATCACCGCCTCCCTGGTCATCTGCCTGACAGCATATGTATCTGTAAGTGCCAAATGCGTGTGGGCCCTCCTGGCCTTTTCATATTTGACCTTAACATGTGGCTCTGGGACTGGGTTCCCTTCTGTCAGGAAGTGATCCTTTCCTTGGGCCCTTGGTGTTCGTTCGCATGTGTCCGTGCTCTCTATATCCTCACCCACCGACGGCAAGATGAAAATCAGGACTCCAGACTGGAGACTGCAGAAGCCCCCAGCCGTCACTCCAGCCATGGCCTCTGGTTCTCCATCCCCGGCTGCCCTACGCCAGGGCGCTCGGTGTTCGCTGCGGCCCGGGATGGTGTGCCGGAGTGGGCCGCCGTCCAAGGAGCTCAGATCATAGGCTGGCAGTAACGGGTGGGTGTGCGAGCAGAGGCATTGTGGGCCTCTGTGCACCCTCCTCAATGCCCTTCTGTCTCCTGGGAGCTTCCCGGCTGTAGAGATGTGAGGCTCCCCCAGAGTTGGGCGAGAGAGAGAGAGCACATCGCCCTCTGGAGACGCTCTTCCCGTTAACTCCCAGGGGGACGTGCAATTTCTTTCTGCTGTTGCTTCTTTTACAAGAGCTCAGGCTCTCCCCTAAAGGTTTCCTTGTCAAGGGTCTTCCTCAGAATGGCGCCTTCAGCCTTGCGTTCTCAGGGTCACTCCCTGAGACGCCCCTCGCCCTTTCGATGTGTCATCTCTCAGCTCCCACCCTAGAATTTCTATCCCAGAGAAAGTTCAGCCACATCCAAGACCTCCCTCATCCCTGGCCATGGAGAGAACCAGCTGACAAGTCGATGGGTGTGTGATTACACAAATACCCTCAGGCCCTGCGGGATTCTCTCACTTCAGTCACCACAATTAGGAGTCAGCAGCTGGGGTGCAACCTGTAAGCTCTGCAGCTACTGCTGAAGTCACTTGCGAAAAGCACTGCTTTGCCCTCCCCCAGGAAAAAAAAAAAATCTTTAGCAACCACCTAAAGAGGCCAGGCCGACTGATCATTTAAGCAAGCTGCAAACCAGGATTGTCCTAGAAAACACAAGAGCAGCTTTGGATGTGGTTTATAGAAATTCAGTTGCCCACCCAAACGTTTATGGAGAGGCCATTCATCACCTCTCACTATGCACACACATTACAAGTGGTTTCATCGCTTCTGCATCCTGACTATCCCAGCAGACAGTGCTCCGGGAGGGGCGGTGGCGTGGGCGGAGCAGCAGAGACACTCTGCTCTGCCTTTCCCCTCCTTTTCCTCCCTCACACCTCCCCTCCTCCAGGGGTCAACCCTTGCAGCACACACAATAAAGTTAACACCCTAGTTCCTTCCTTCGAATAGCACTTTCCAGACTACAGAATACTTCCATACGCCCCCCCCCCCCCAACTCTTTGCCTGTCCTCATCTAATGTGGGCAGGAGACTCAACACCAATTGTTATATGATCAGTCCCACTCTCCTCCAGCCCACCCCACCCCACTTCCAAAAGGAACATTTCAAGTGGTGACGTGTCTGGGAAATATTCGTTTAGAATGGACGGGCCTTAGTCATGCTCAGGAGCTGTTTGGTCCTGGGCTGGGCAGCAGGCTGCCATTCCACCACCGGGACAGGAGCCGAACTGCTGGGCTGTGGTGGTCCACCCTGCTGTCCTCCGTAGCGGCCCAAGGCTTCCCTGCAGGATCTTGGCTCCTGAGGAATAGATAAAGAAGTGACCTAGAAATGTACCACTCTCTCCCTTTGAGGCTCTGAACTCCCTTCTCGATGCCAACATTGGCCTTTGTAGGCTGGGGCAGCCTGACCATATATATGACTGCTGACCCATTGCCTGTGGCCAATTCTGAAGGGAAGGAGGAGATAGGTCTTTGTTAAGCGATTCCTGATTAGGCAAAGCCATGGTGGTCTCATAACCCAAAGTAAGACTGGATTCCACCCAATGCCCTAATTTGTTTGTTGGCCTGCCTGCCTCCTGGGACAGCTACAGAGAAGAAATGGAAATAGGAGTCCTCATCTGGGTCTCATCAGTTTACCGGCTATGGGTCTAGTGCACATCTATCTTTGGAGTTTTGACCTCTGGTCTTTGGGGCGATGGGGAGTACTCTTAAGACTTTGTAGGACCCTGAAAGTAGCAAAGAAAGGAGAGTCACGTCCCTGTTGGCAGCATGCTCCTAGTCCCTGCCAGGCCCGGGTTCTCCCACCTGGTAATGTCCGCCCTCCATCGAACTGTCAGTCTCGCTCCACTTTCACGCTGCTAAAATCCCTGCAGACTTATTCCTCGGATGTGAAATGCCCACTGAAAGATAGTAGAGATTGTCTGGTCCAGCCCACTACATCCACATGTGGGGAGAAAATACCGAGACTGAGAGCTCCAGAGGCCAAATGATCGGTCTAAAGTGAAGGTACGTGCAGACTGCGTGCTGGCCTCTGACCCTGGGCCCTGGGCTCTTGCTCCCCTACAGGACATTCATCCATGCTGTCAGCTCCCCCTTCCTCCAGCCACATTTTCTCTTGTTTCAACAGGTGAGCATGATCTTAACTCTGATGGTGCCATATTATGACATTGACACGGAATCCCCGCTCATGGAGATGTTTGTGGCACACGGGTTCTATGCTGCAAAATTCGTAGTGGCCATCGGGTCGGTGGCAGGACTGACTGTCAGCTTGCTGGGCTCCCTCTTCCCAATGCCAAGGGTCATTTATGCCATGGCTGGCGATGGGCTCCTTTTCAGGTAAGGGTTACACTCTGGGGAACTGATTCTGTTCTGCCATGCCTGTGCAGGGAGAATGTCACCCACTGTCAGCCTGACTGCAATTTTGATATAAATGCCTGTCACACATACTATGGAACTTGTCATATATCCTGACAAAAAGTTTGAGTTGAAAGAGCTTAGTCCCTGAAACAGCCCCTCAGTTTGACTCAGGCTAACTCAATCTAGCACAAACTGATCTGTGCCTTGAACCGCCCCCTCTCCCATTTGACATTGTGTATTCCTTTATGAAGATAGTAGGTGCCAAACTGCACTAGCAGGTGGCCTGCAGAAGGGAAAACCAGCTAGGGGAAGTCTTAGGCCCGGCCTCATCTTGAGGCCTGGTACCAGGCCCTCTCCACAGCACCCCTCTGAAGTGGAAAAAGTTCAAAGTTGTCATCAAAGAGAGAATAATAAATACCCTCTGAACAGAACTTAATAATGGTACCAACAATTGCCACCATTCATTGAATATTTGTGTATCCCAGGTGCTTTGTATACAGTATCCTATTTAGTCATCACAATAACTCTGTTTTGCAGATGAGTGTACTTGATGAGTATTCTCAGAGAGGTAAAAAAAAAACCTTGCTCCAAATCCCCCCGTTTCTGAGTGGAGGGGCCAAGATTTGAATCCAGGGCTGTCTGACTCCAAGGATCAAACCTTTAACCACACCAATCTAGTGATAGTTCCAGGCCCTTATGTTGACCATGAAGTGGCCTATCCAGCCACAGTGCAGAGGGGATGTGGTCCCTGTCTCGTGGTTCTTGGAGCCCAGCATGTGAGGGCCTGCAGGGACGACATTCTCCCAGTGCACAAAGGAAAAAGTAAACCCCGGAGAGCACAGAGCTCTAAGGGGTGCAGAGGGATCCAGCACAGGGACTTTATCTCTGCCATCGGCTGTCATCTTGTGCTCCAGTTCCTCAACCTACGCCCAAAGCCATTACCAGGTGCCAGTGGTGTTTGGGGAGCTGGAGAGATCAGGAAGAATCTAACCATGGTGGAGGTGTGACAATTTCACACACCCAAAAGGTTTTTTTGCTGTCAAAGAAAATTAAGAGGAAAGATGCTGGGGCTCCAAGCACAGTTTATTGTCTTGTGAGAGTCCTGAAAATAAGGGAGGAATGGAAGAGGAGGGCAGAGGAGGGATAATGAAGGAAGAGAATAGGAACCTACTTAAGGCCCACAGGAACTGCTGAGGAAGCAGCTGCCATTCAATCACCCTTGTTGGTCTTCTCTAGTTGATAACTCGCTGAATTTAGGCTGTATTAGTTACCATGCTATTTTACCAGCTAAATCCCTGTACTTTTGATGTAGAGCAGTGCTTCTCAAGCTTTGGCATAAATCCAAATCTGGAGGTTTTTTTAAAGCATAGTTTGTTGAACCCCACTCCCAGAGAGTCTGACATAGTAGCTCTCAGGTGAAACCTAAAATTATGCATTTATCACAAGTTCCACGGCAATGCCGGTGCTGCTGATGCTTAGGCCACACTTGGGGTAAGAAAGGTCTAGAGGACCCCCAAGCAGGTGTATGACTTCGCCAACCATCACTTCTTCCCAGCAAAGCCTGGGTTTCAATTTAGGCTTTTGAAATACTCCCTAGATTCAATCAACCCTTTACATCATATAATTGAGTAGGAACTTTAATAAACAGTTTGTCTCAAAACTGAGGAATTAATGTGGATTCTTTTTAGATTATATTCCAGGAATTAAACTCTGGGGTAGGAATCTCAGATTTATTTAAAACAATGAACCCAGAAGTTGATTGGAGGGGCAGGACCAGGAGGAATTGAGCCAGGTAGAGTCCGTCACCATCGGGAGCCCACATTAACCCTGTGTTTCATTAACCTTCCAGGTTTCTGGCTCATGTGAGCTCCTACACGGAGACGCCCGTCGTGGCCTGCATCGTGTCGGGGTTCCTGGCGGCCCTCCTCTCTCTATTAGTCAGCCTGAGAGACCTGATAGAGATGATGTCCATTGGCACGCTCCTCGCCTACACCTTGGTCTCTGTCTGCGTCTTGCTCCTTCGATACCAACCAGAAAGTGACATTGATGGTTTTGTCAAGTTCTTGTCTGAGGAGCACACAAAGAAGAAGGAGGGCATCCTGGCTGACTGTGAAAAGGAAGTATGTTCTCCTGTGAGTGAAGGGGAAGAGTTTTCTGGCCCCGCCACCAACACTTGCGGCGCCAAGAATTTACCATCATTGGGAGACAATGAGATGCTCATAGGGAAATCAGACAAGTCAACCTACAATGTCAACCACCCCAACTATGGCACTGTGGACATGACGACAGGCATAGAAGCCGATGAATCTGAAAACATTTATCTCATCAAGTTAAAAAAGCTGATCGGGCCCCGTTACTACACCATGAGGATCCGGTTGGGCCTCCCAGGCAAAATGGACCGGCCCACGGCAGCTACCGGGCACACGGTGACCATCTGCGTGCTCCTGCTCTTCATCCTCATGTTCATCTTCTGCTCCTTCATCATCTTTGGTTCTGACTACATCTCAGAGCAGAGCTGGTGGGCCATCCTTCTGGTTGTTCTAATGGTGCTGCTGATCAGTGCCCTGGTGTTTGTGATCCTGCAGCAGCCAGAGAACCCCAAGAAGCTGCCCTATATGGCCCCCTGCCTCCCCTTTGTGCCTGCCTTTGCCATGCTGGTGAACATCTATCTCATGCTAAAGCTCTCCACCATCACATGGATCCGGTTTGCCGTCTGGTGCTTTGTGGGTAAGCAACTCCCTTTGGAGCCTTGAGAGTTCCCTTTTAAGGCATTGACCAGGCTTATCCCAAAATTACCTTCTTGCTGGACCAGGCATCAGCATTCCAAGAGAAATCTGGCTGGTTCTATGGATCTATGGACCCTTGCTTTCTGCATTAGAGGCAAGAAAGCCAGTTGTACTCTTTATGCCTGTTATGGTCTTGGTCATTGGTTCTGAAGAATGATGCTGATCAATCCATCACATCACTGAATATTATTACTGGACATTCTTCTTATGGATAATTAATACCATAAAAAGTCCACTTTAAATGAATCCGTATTTAAAAAGGGGGGAAAGTTGCATAGTAGAAGTGAGGCTGGGAAAAGTTGATTCACATTCTATCTTACAAACTAAAAACTATGAAAAAAGTATTTTACATTGAAAAAAATTAAAATAGTAACCATGCCATAATTTTTTAATGAGCAAAGCATAAATTAAGTGTGGATTTTTTGGCATCATTTTTTCATGAAAGAATTGCATTATGGCACCAGTTAACATCCCTCACTTCATATTGACTTTCGTAAACCCTTCAAGAGTTTTTCATTTTTTCCCAAGGTCTTTTCTTCATCCTTTGATATTCCACTCATTTCCTTGGGAAATACCCCATCACACCATCATCCTTCTTCTACTGGTAACTGATATGACTCTGTCACATCCTCAACTGTTCACAGCTTTGGGTATGAATTAGAGTTGCTCTTTCTAAATTCACATTCATTGCCTTCAATAAGATCTATACCTTTCCCAAGATTTCTAATTTTTCTTTGTGACCTATTTATATTATTTATATCATGTCTATTTTAATAATCACTGATGTTTATGAGATGGTTGGGGTTTGGTGGTAGTAATAACTTGCAAGGGATGTTTAAGTGAAGACTAATTTTAAAGTTCCTTAGTTACTATTTATACGTTCCCTATACAACTTGGTAGCCGTGGAGTCTCTGGTAACAAATACTTAGCTAAGGAGGATCCTTAGGTGCTTTGAGGAATAGGAAAGTAGTACAGTAAGTGACCTCTGCCTTAAAGAGAGGCAAGACAAATATACATGAATCAACTAGCCTGGGCAAGAGAGTAAAATGATTCATCGATTAGTAAACCACCACTCCTCTAGGTAACGGATATGGGTATTCAACATTGTACCCTCTGTGCTTGGAATATATAGTACTATGTGCCTAATAAATACATCTCTATGATCATAAAGCACTCTTCATATGAGAAACAAAGGAACTTCCTGTCATAATAGCCAGAAAGGACTTTGAGAAGGTAGAATTTGAACAGGGCCTCTAAGGTAAGGTTTAGATAGAGGGAAGTGGGTAAAAACATAGTACTCAAAGGAAAGAACCAATGTCTTCCAGAAGATTCCTCACGTCTGATGGCCATTCTGTGCCTTCCTATAAACATTTTGTTTCCATTTTTCACTATTCTGGGCCTCATCCCTTGTTAGACATTAGGGGGATTTCTCCAGAGGACAACACCTCTTACTCATCAAGGTTTTAACCATTTATATGATTTATTCACAATCGCTCTTCTCTGTTTAAACATTTTTCCATTGAACATGCAGCTAAGCAATGGAAAGATTCTATTATGAGTAGAGTGACTGAAGTGGGTAGAAATATTTTAGTCATATATTTGTCAAATGAATGAAGGTATAGACACAAAGATACATGGCTTCCTAATTCATTGCTAGGTTATTACAGCTAGAAGGAACCCTCAATATCTACTTTAGTGCTACCCACAGTGTGGTGACCATTCCATTGGTAATATCTGGGCTCATTTTAGAGAGTATACGAATGAACTTTTTAAAATATTATATAGTTATTATACATGCTCACACTTACTAGAAAAATGCACATACTCACATAAATCTGGTGACTGTTTTTAAGTTTAAAAAGGGAGTCAAATTAAGAAAAACATTAGTCCTAGTTCAGGTGCTATATGATTCGTAGTAATAATTAACACATACAGCACTTATCATATATCAGACATTATTCTGAGTTTTTACTTATATTAACTTATTTAATCCTCACAACAATCTTTGTTTTACAGATGAGGAAACGGGTATTTAACTGAGGTCACATCACTAGAATATAGCAGAGCAAAAATAAGAACTCAGGCAGTGTGGGCCCAGAGTCCATGATCATAGCCACTGCACTAGAATGTGATGTATCAATAACTACACTTTGAGAAACACTAACATAGTTCGCCACCTCGCCACTTCTCCCTCTCTCAGTTTCACAGATTAGTAAAATGAACCTCCAACAGGTTAAATTGCATGCTCAATGTCAACAGGAATAACAGGAAGTTATTCACAGAGCTATTGCTACAATCCAGTATCTTCAAGCTCAGATCTGGGGCTCCTACCTCCCTACCAGGGTGTCTCTAGGCAGACCTTTCTATTTGATCAGAATGTTTGATATGTAGTTTGTGTAGATTAACACATAACATCAGGGATGGCTGCCTGGGCGTACGACCTGTGCAGTCACACAGGACCCCGCACATGGTTGAAGTTTCTGTTGCTGCCTTCTTGAATTCTTACCAAGAAACTCCAGGGTTTCATTTTGCACTGGGACTCACAAATTCAGTGGCTGGCCCTACATAATATCTATAGTCTCTGGAATACCAAAGACATTTTGCAAAAGTGGTGATGTGGTAGGGACCCTTGCCTCTGGAGCCTTTGGAGTCAAACATCCCCGGGTTCATATCCCAGCTCTGCCACCTCTGTGTCTTGTGACCTGTGAAAGTTCACTTACTTCCTTTGGGCCTCATTTTACAGTTTACTCATCTGTAAAAATGCCGATAATTTGCTAGCCTTGATCTGGTTGCTGTTTGGGGCTTAGAGAAGAAAATACTGAGGAAAGCAATGAGAACTATTTCTTTCCTCCCTTTCTTTTAAAAATCTAAAATGATTCATTGTCCCCCAGACTAGCTATCACATGCCAAAGTACAGCGTGAACCTGTTCTGACTCAGGCTGCCCTGAGAGTTATCAGGCAGGAGAAAACTCCCAGAGAGCCTTTTATAATCTTGCTGATAGCACAAACTTCAACTCCCTCCAGAAACCGATCCTCCCTCCATGGGAGAATGCCACCCTGCAGCCTGGGGCTGGCCAGACAGAGGGCACAGGTGCCCACACTTCAACAAGCACCCAGCTCAAGCTACTAACTGCTTTGACACCATGATCTTTGAAGGCTGGTGTAGAAGTCCATTTCACCTAGAACAAAGATACACACACATCAGAATCACCTCAAATGTTTCTAAAACATTCTGTGTCCAGGATCTCCGCCACAGAGGTTTTCTGATTCAGTTAGTCTGGTATGGCCAATATTGGGTACTTCTTTAAGCTCCCTCAGGTCATCTTAATGTACATCCATGTTTAAAATGATCTAGAACAGTGGATTTCAAAAGTGTGCTCCCAGACTAGCAGCATCAGCATCACCTGGGATCCAGTTAGAAATGCAGCCTTGGGCCCTAGTGCTACCAAAACAGAACCTCCAAGAGCAGCTTAGGTGTTAACAAGCCCTTCTGTTGGCTCTGATGCGTGCTCACATCGGAGAGCCACTCATCTAGAGCGAAGAATAAAAAGATATTAGCAAGCGAAGCAGGTAATTTAATTACAACCCCCTGTTTTTCAAAACGAATTTTTGCATATATAAAATATATCCATCCCACAATCCCAAATTGGCTTATAAAATCTTTAATGATCTTATGGAATAAATATCCCACCTCTAAACTTCTGAGTCTCCAAAACGTCAGATTTTTCCTCTTAATCTCTATTCACAGTATAGCCTTCCTGGGGAGAACAGTAGAGGTATTTTTAAATAGAGCTTCTTATGAAACATCAGGTACCTTTAAAAAAAGATTTACATGGTTAGGCTGAGTCATAACTTGATAATCTTCTTGGATACACTTTTTTTACGCAACCCTCTCGAAATGAATCTTAATTACAGCATTTTGTCACAATGTTTTTGCTAAGCTTTGACCTTCAGAAGACACTACTCATGGAATCAAGTGAGGCACAAGTCCCAACAAGTTTACCAAGCACCTGTTTCTTTTCCTTCAGAGAAGAGAAGTAACTCAACAGCACATTTAATAATCCCAACAAAATGAGCACAAAGCAGCCTTCATTCTCTGTTTCTCTTAGCTGATGCAGTTTTGTGAAGAACACCTCAAGGAGTTGGGCAGCGTCTCAGGGGATATGAAAGTAGGGAGGACCAATAAGAACACTGCATGATGGGATTTTCACAGGCTCTTTCAGGCCAGTGGTTTCCTCCCGGCCACTATTATGAACCAGCCATCTGTTAGAATCAAGATTATAGAGTTTGCGAGCCCCTTAACCTGGAAGGCTGCCAAGTTTTCATCTGAAATGTTTTCGGTCCTTCTGAGGAAAACAAATTCTTGTCTATAGATTTAGAGAACAGACAGAACTTGTGATTTGGGCAATGGAGCCCATATATCCTGTACCAAAACATAAATATTCCAAAGAGAAGACACCACTTACGGTCTCTGAGCTATCATCTGAAATCTTATTGGAAATTGACCGAAGTAGTCCTGGTGACAAGGGGAAGAGGAGGAAAAGAAGGGGGCCCTGAACTGGGGTCTGAGAGGGCACCAGGATAAACGAATTCCTGATGGGATGGCCCAGAAATAAGTCTGAACTTCTCCTGTAGGCAGAGGAGAAAACCACTGCCCCTCCAACATCAGAAGAGCAAGAGAAATCATAAAGGCCAGGCTGAGGGTGGCAACAGGGCCAGTGGGCTTCCAAGAAGGAGGGCATGCAGAGGTGAATCCTGCAAGGGTCCAGGCTGCCTGCCGGCAGAGGCACTCGCAGGACAAGGGGCCACGAGGGGAGGAGCGGCAGGGAGGTGCCTCCGCTCTGCAGGCGGGGCAGCCGGGGATGGAGGGAGAGAGGACCGTCCCAGAGACGGAAGGCCTGCAGTGGGCTGCTCAGTGCACCTGGAACACACTCGAGCCAT